ATAATAATAATAATAATAATAATAATAGAAATGTTGGCAGAAATGTTTTTACACACACACACAAACATACACCATATATACTAGAAATGCCAGTTGGTTAAATTATTCTTATATCTTCAGTTATCAGTTACCTGTTGGTTCAAAGATCAAAGAAGAAGGCACCTGCCACTGACTGGACCTGCAGCTCCAGCAGATGGCTGTTCTTTTTTTTCCCCCTTTGTACACACACAGGCACACTCTTACTAAAGTAATCAAGCAAAACACAATCGTCTAAGAATGTGCATCTCTTTGTTCTTCTTTGTTCTGTCTCTCTGTATTCATATTACCATGGTGCTGTGTTGAGATGCAAGCTGTTGCAGTAGCCCTTGTGTTTATGACTTTGCTACTTAAACACATTTTTTTCTCATTGGGCTTTTTTTCTTTAATATAGGTTTTTTTTAACACTGGTGAGCAAGACCTGGTATTCTAAGGAGAATAATCTGTCTCCTGTCTCTTCCCGAGGAGACAATGGGCTTGCATGGGTAAAGCTAAGTTATTCGAAAATAAGAGATGTAACCTGTCCATTCCAGCTAACATCATGGGGAATGTGAGTTCCTTGAGCATGGGATAGATTAAAGAGGGCTGATTATGACACAGAGGGACTACTGAGAGTTTAGTATGTTGTGCATCATCTAAACATGGCTGAACTCACACATCCCAGATGACAGCATTAGTGACTGAAAAATGGTGCAATCCTGGACATGTTACTATGTGGGCCAGATATTGATCTGGAAGGTGTTAGACTGCATTCATAGTACTTCTTATCAGTTATTGTTGGTGTAGTTTACATTGAACCATCAGCTGATGAAGATGCAGCGTGTAACATCACTCTTTCCTCCGTAAAATGATGCCAGCCCTGAATTCTGGGTTTTTTTATTGTTGTCACTGCAATCCCTCTTCAGACCATCTGACCATAATGTAGTCCTGCTGACACCAAGGTATGTTCCTCTTGCTTAACAACACATTGTATCTACAAGAGTTGTTCATGAGGCTGTGAAGACACTGCGGGTCTGCTTTGAGTCTGGAGCCTGGAAAGTACTTTATAATCTGCATGGAGGAGACATTAACAGTTTCCCTTGCTGCATCACAGACTAACAAAATGAACAATAAGCCTTGCATTGCTAGTGACCAAAAGGAACTACTTAATTAAAGGGTTAAATCAAACATCTTCAGGTTTGCGCACAGAGAAGAACTGAGGAGAATGCAGCATGACCAAAGGGTGAGGCAAAGGAAATGCTAGGACCCTAGGAGAGCTGGACAAGGATGTAGAAGGCACCAATCAGTAGGACCAGTGCCTGCTGCTTTGTGCAAGGAGGAACAGGATGAGCACTGCCAGAGCTACAAAATTACCTCCATCAAGCAACTGATGTGAATATCTTTGACCAAACTATCAGAAACAGAATTAGGAGGGTGGCCTCAGGGCCCAACATCCCCTAGTGGGCCCTGTCCTCACTGCCTGGCACCATGAAGCTCAATGAGGCATTGAGTACCAGAATTGGCAGCTTCACCTCTGGCATCGTGTGCAGATGAGAGCAGTTTAACCCTGAGCACATGTGACAGATGTGAAAGGGTCTGGAGAAGCTGTGGAGAGCATTATGCTGACGGTAATGTTGTTCAGCATGACTGGTTTGATGGTGGGTCAGTGATGGTAGGAATAGGAATTTCTCTGGAGGGACACACAGACCTCTACAGGCTAGGCAACGGCATCCTCACTACCATTAGGTGTGGTGAGAATATGCTGGCAATTGCTCAAGGATGAAGGAATTGATACCATTGACTGGGCCCACGCTTGCCTGACATAAATCCAATAGAAGTCCTTTGGGACATTATGTTTCAGTCCATCCAATCCCACCAGGTTTCATCTGTCCTGGATCTTAGTGATTCCCTGGTCCACACTGAGCTTAGTCAATTTATTTATATTCACATTTAAAAACAAAAAGGGTTAACAAAAGTGTTGTATAAATAAAAGGAATAAAACAGAGCAGGAAAATGCAGAAAAAAACTTAAGACAAGAAAAAAAACATAGTGTCACATTTAAACACAAGGGTGTAAAGATATGGGTGTAAAGATGGGTCTTCAAGTGTTTAAAGGTATCAAGTGTTGGTGAGTTCCTAATTTAAAGAAGCAGACTGTTGCAAATTTTAGGTGCAGCTACAGAAATGGCCTGATCTTTTCTATGCTTTAGTCTGCTTTTGGAAAACCAGAAGAATCTGATCAGCTGACCCTAAAGATCTATTAGACGTGCATTGTTAACATTTTGGAAAGGTGAGAGCATGCTAATCTATTCAAAGACTTAAAATGACAAAAAATTCTAAAATGTACTGGAAGTCAGTCTAAAGAAGTCAAAAAATCTGAAATATGGTCTTACTCTATTTACATGCACATGTCAGGAGGAGCCCCCTTCAAAATTAGTTGCAAAGAAAAGAAGACCTGACTGATTCCAAAATAAAGGCTATTGCAGTAATCAAACCTGGATGAAATTAAGGCATGAATTTCTTTCTCGAAGTCAGGAGAGAGAGTCAGAAGGAATGTGTTGCGTACTTGAATTCAGCCCAATGTAGGTTGATCATTTTCATTTCCAACCAATGATGTGACATCTTTTTGTTCCTAACACATTATCAGTTGATATTACTGTAGATATCCAGCAGGGTTTTTTCCTCATTAATATCTGATGTTTTAGACAATCTAGTGATCTAGTGGTCATTTCAGCAGGAAGAGGATGGCTACATGGCCGGTGTCTGTGCTGGGACAAGGTGCTGATGTGGTGGGGCAAGTACCTGGACATCCACAGTGACAACTTGGTGAACTTGAAACCTAACACAGTTGGAAGTTTTAGCCATTTTCAAACATTTTGAACTTTGGGGTGGTATCAGATCAGTTTCAGGTTGAATCTCAGTGGTAGAGCATACCCAGGGTGGAGAGAGCAGTGATTAGAGCAGACTTGAATAGACCTGTAGCTGAAGGGAACAGAGGTGATGAGGAGGTATTAGGTAGGTATGGTGTTACGGAGAGCTCGTTCAGAAGATGGTGGGTTTTGTGAAAACGATGGAAACGACTTTTGTGAATACATACATTAAGAAGGAGGAACATAGGATAACATATTTTTCTCTTTCTCCTTCTCTATATTCCCCTCTCAGACCTACCAGATATCAGCGTCAGCCACAGCAACCTCACAGTTGTCGAAGGTGATCAAGTAACGGCAATCTGTAATGGCTCTGGTTCACCATTACCTGAAGTGGATTGGCCTGTCACTGGCTTGCACTCCATCAATGCACAAGAGGTAGGGAGGGCATGCACAAATTCACAACTTCACAGAGAACGGACTAATCCTAGGCTTGAAATGACTGCATTCTGTAAATTGATACCAAATGGCAGCAGGACGTTCTTTCATAAATAGCTTTTTTATGTCTTCTTGGTATCATTTATTGACATAATTATTACTAGAAAGAGACCATTGTACTCTTTGGATTTATTTTAAAAGTTAGCTTTAGCTACTGATATGAAGGGGTTAATTAACAAAGCTACAACAACTAATTGTTGAACCAGCCGTCATAGCCAGCAAGCCCCCAAAAATTGCCTCACCTCTTTGTTAGTCTTCAGCCATTCTACCAACCTGTCAGCCGAGGGTGGTAGACCCTGGTCCGAGCAGATTTTATGCCCAGTAATTCTGGCGACTATACTGTATATTAATACAAAAAGGATTACAAATGTAAGCAATGCTTTCTACAATCTTCATTCTCCAGCTTCGAATTTACCTCATTTCAAATAGGTCGCACTAACCCAGTTTTCTGCGCTGTCATCGAAATACAATAAGAACTTCATAAACAACTTCCCTGATTTTTTTTTGTAGCTGGGATTATACCCAACTATGATCGTGTTCTCATTGTTAGAGATTTTAATATACATGTGTGTTGGCTCGCTGGTCAATGGCAGCAGACCTATGGTGCAGTCTCTCCAAGAAGGCACCGGACAAATTTTTTGTAGACCACTATCTCCAGCAGCCACACCTAACCCCTCAAAAGCCCAGGCTGCAACTAACTTGCTGCTGCATCCTGGAGTGCTGCATCCTGGAGTCGCAGGGCAAATGTGAAGGGCAATCCTCTGCTGCCATCTTGCTGTTTTGGAAAACCGGCAGTGATTTTCCAGAGAGAGGCCCAGGTGGTCCAGGATGGCTTTGCATGCAACAGGGAAGCTCCTTCTCGAAGATGGTGCCAAGCTTAGGGCCGCCATCTGGTCCTCCCGCAACAAGAGCAGCAATAGCCATAGTGACCACTCCTCTGTAGGCTATTGGCATTCCTCTGTCATTTTCTGTAACAAGTCGAGGAATGTCTGGGGATCATCCTCTGCCCCCATCCGGTGCAGCATCTCTCACAGGCCTGGGGAGGGCAGCCGTGAAGAGGACCCAGACTGACTGACCAGCCTCTCCAGGACATTGCATCTGGTGCTCAGCTTAGTACTGCAATTTTTCCATTTATTTAGTGCAGCTACACTTCAAAACTCATGCTCTTGCTCCCAACAACTTTCCGGCCATCACTTCTCCAGCTCAGCTCACCCCCCGAGGGAATTAATTCCGGCTGCCTTGCAAGCCTCCCTGGCACCGCATCCTGAACCCACTACACCACGCGCACTCTGCAGTGGAGCTGGAGACCACTCACTGCCACATAGTGAGCATCCTCACTGCGTACAATGCTGGATACCATGACTACTCAGATAAAGAAACAAATCAGAGGTTTGAGTTGTAATATAATTCTCAAACGCACTCCTTAAAACAGATAACCCAGAAGCTCAAAAGTGTTTCCCTAATTTAGTAGATATTTATTAAAGTGTTTTGTTACTCTATATAAATTTTAAAAAAAAAACCTCAGTAAAGAAAAGACATCTTACTACTCGTCACTGATAGAGGAAAACTGGAACAAGACCAAGTTTCTTTCTTCAGATTCAGAACTCTGTTGAGCTGTGTGTTTTTAAACTAGCGATGAATTTCATGAATTTCTTCATAAATAAAAGTATAACTAACCGCTGAGACCGTTTCTCTTCGATTGGTCTTGCTGAGTATAGTTCATTAATTGCTTCCTCTGTCATATTTAGGCTGTGTGCAGGCAGGATGAGGACCCAAACGCAAACTCACGGGAAAACAGGACTGAACTCAAAATACAGCTTTATTGCTGATGGAAGTTAAGGCGATACAAAATAATATGAAACTAAACTGGGACGTCATAAAGGGACTGACTCACGAGGAAACACATGGAGGGGCACACAGTCATGAGGGAAAACGTGACACTGAACTGAGGGAGACGCGGACATAAATACACAGAGGGTTAACGAGGGAAGTAGGAGCACACGGGGAACACAGGTGACACTGATAATTATAACAAGACACGGCAGGAGTCAGGAGACTGACAAAGTAAAACAGGAAGTGCACAGAGGTGCAGACAGGAGGAGAGAGAGAGAACAGACATAACGGGCTGGGGAAAACATTGAATGAAACACGAGGGGAAATGAGGGCTCACAGATACACAGAGGGGCACACAGGGGGTAATCAAATAAGGAACATTTTAACAGGACAACCTGGGAACCAAGGCATAAATAAAGAAAAATACAAGACGCATGAAAACTGAGAATGCTGGGCCAACATGGCCCAGGACCACGACATCCTCTAAACAATCAATGTTTCTATTAGACCATATTTTTGTTGCTTATGCTTGTTTATTTTATCTTGTTGTCCCTCCAGGCTAGAGTCTACGACAATACTATTCACTCCATCAACATAACCTTGGTCAATGTAAGCAGAGACGACAACAACTTCCTATTAGTATGCACTGCCACCAACATAGTGGGCATGACCAACGCTTCAGTTCAGCTAACTGTTCACTGTAAGTAGATACACAAAACTGCACTCCGTGAAAACTGTGAAAAGTAGCATTATAAATAGTTGTGGAAATGTGAGTTGGCTACTGTATCCATTTTAAGCTCTCTTCTTTTAAATATATAAATCTTAGTAAGATGCACTCATAAATTAAAACTCTAGCTTTACTTTACGAGATTGTCTTTGAGATTTCTATGAGGCAGTTAAGTGACTGAAATACTGTGGAAGAGATTAATAATAGTAATAACTAGTTAAAGATGGGAGCTGACAAATTCATTGTTAAAATTTTGACTTTACATCTATTTTTGTTTTAGTTTTATTTTAGCTGCCAAATTTTGTAATTGTCTTGAATCATTATTTATAAGTATTAGTGTATATAGTAGTATATAATATATTAGCGTTATTAGATAGCTGCTTCTTTGTACTTAGGTTAATGTTTGTGCAAATCTTAGAATATTGCAGGGAGAAATTACTGTGGTATCATTTGTCTTCTTTGAGTGAATACTAGTGGTATTTAAGGTTTATTGCAGCCAAGGCTATATGCAGAGGGCTAAACAATGTCACACGGTGACTAATATGTTGCAGCTGTGTTTTAGATTGTAGGGTAGGCCTTGGATTGTAAAGGACTGAAGCGGCTTCAATAATATTATAGCAATAAAGGCCTATGTACAACAGACATGTAAAATCAGTGAACATATTTTATGTGTTAAAACTAGTTTTCAGACTCAACTATTCTTAATGCAGCTGTTTACACCAACCGTGTAACTGGCGGAATTAATTTTTTCAAACCAAGCTCGATTCTTTTTAAATTTTCAGAACCAGTACTGATAACAAAAATGATTTGGGAAATAGAAGAGTAATCCTATTTAATCTCAGACCCACAGCTACAGTAGATGTTGCTCCGGGTCAGTGGGCACTCTAAAATGATTTCACTGCCTCCTTAGATGTGGTCCCAACTCTGCCAGCAAGAGCTCAAACTGTCCCACTGACATCCTGAAATATGTATAAAAGCCACTATACAGCTTTAACTCCTGGATCAAACTATGCCAGTCTCCCTGCTGCTGCTTCTCCTCAGAATTGGATGGAACAGAATCTCAGTTTCTTACATTTGTTGTTTAGAAACATCACGGCCAGCTCATGATCACTACAAGTTGACTTCATTTTCTTACAGTGTGGTTTTGTTTTCTGGCAGTCCAGAGGCAAGGCAGAAAACAAGGCAACGAAATGCAGTTTGCATCCATCCAGAAGTGCCACACTTCTGGATGGATGCAAACTGCATTTCGTTGCCTTGTACTTGTGCAATGACAATAAAGTTGAATTCTATTCTATTCTATTCTTGGTATCTAGTCTCACACCAAGTGTTGTAGAGGCTGTGTTCAACTGCCGAAAGACCACTTTGTTTTTGTGATGTGTACTATAACTATTTTGGTTATTTTTTATTTCTATTATTATTTAGCAGTGTTTAAAGTGGGATCTGGCAGTTGGAGAAACCGAGATCAGGGTTAACAATGCAGTAATACAGGGCGATGACTCACCTGGAAATAAGTTGCATAATTATTTTTTTAAGCTGCAGTAGATTTTTTTTCCCTCATCTGTATCAACAGCAGGTTATTGTAGTATATTGATCTGGACCAGTCTGAATAACCCCATGAGGGGGCAGCAAATGCAAAGCAACCAATAAGCTGTCTCCCAGCATAGTGTGGGGGCTTTTTTGGCAGGGGTCAGACTAAATAATGCAGAACTAAATTTAAAAGAAACTAATTATGAGCCCAAAACAAAAACTCAAAATACTTGGTAGAAACCCAGGGACATGACCAGTCCATTTACCATTACCACCCAAACTTTTTTCTTTTCTTTTTTCATTTTTTAATGTGTTCATTACGGCTTTAAATATCTATATACAATCATCCATTTATGTATAATGATATTTGTTGTTATTTTTTATCATTATTATTGTTATTATTATAATAAACTTTGTTTAACTCGGAAGTCCCACTGACATCAAAACCCTTTTTAATGGAGACCTGTCCAAGGTAACAGCCATATAAACTCAGTACATCTAGAAAAACATATCATCTAATATCATCACCTCTCGAGACATCTCCACTGTGTTCCTGATAATGTATAAATTCAGCACTAGATGTAAGCATGTTTAAGTTCAAGTTCATTCCATACACAAGCATAGTTACACACAAAGGGATCCATGAGGAGGAGCATAGAGGATTATTATTGGTACTAAAACAGAAAATGTTACAAAGGTAAACTGGTTTATGTAATTTACTCAGTATTAGTTTATAGAAAAAATATCCCAGCTATGGCCAACTGACCAAATCAGCAAGAACATGTAATGAACATGAGTCGAGTCTGGCTGTGGAACTTGCTGCACTGTCTATCCGCTATCTTGGTGTTGTTAAAGGCAAAGTTATTTAAATTATCTATAAAAATAATTTCATACTTGAAGTTTTGTCCACATGCAAATACCCTTTAAATTTGTCCTGATGTGTAGTTTGCTTTGATGAGACTTTCTGGAGGCTGATGGTGAAGTGGGATTTAATTTTTGACACAAGCAGATCAGATGGTAGAAAGGGTAGAAATACTTCTGTCATTTTGTTGCTTTCTACAAGACAGCCAAAATCATTCAGTTTTTCTCAATCTTTTTTTTAAACTGCTACTTTAAAACCTTAAAAACCTTAAACCTGACAGGAAATACGATTACAATTTCAGAAGTGCACATTTCAGTGTTTTAAGGTTTTTTGACAGTAAAAACGATCAAGTTTATATGGGAAACACAAAAATAGTTTACTTCTTTCTTTGGTTTAATTTTAACTTAGGCAGGTGAGTACCTGTTAACATGTGCTATATAAGTGCAGATTGTTTACATTCTTTTCTTTATTCTTTGTCCTCTTTGTCTCTTAAGTTCCTCCCACCATTATTAGGCTGAAGGAGCCAGAACGCCGCCATGACACGTGCATTGAGTTTACCGTTCGTGGTTCACCCCACCCAGTCTTACGATGGTTCTATCAAGATAAGGTATATTTTTAATTTCATGCTCGTAAATCTATTTTGCACTATTTGTTATTTTTATTTTGTTTGATAAAAATGTGTTGTGTACTTGTTTCTCTCTGTAAAAGGAAATGTCATTTATGAAAAAACTGAATGTCTGTGCTCATCAAAAAAGCGGTTACATTCACAGCCCCTTAGTTAGTATTTACTCAGTAAATTATAGTAAATTGTTGGGTAAATGCCACTGGGAAGAAGTAAATATTAAATAAAATAAAAAAAAGACATACTCATCAACTCTAACACAAGTACTGCGAGGTTGTGACTGGTTTAGGTTGAAAGTAACTCAGCAACCATTTATTAGAAACATATTGTCTGTAAAGCTTCAATTCCACTTACAATTGTAGTTATCCAAGGTTTATTTTGGTAATTATAATAACCTTACTATCGATTATATAAAGTTGAAAATAGTCCTTTCGAATTTTTGTTTTTTGGTTTGTACCGTGTACCACAAAAATGCTAAATTTGTTTTTTGTAATCCTAAATGGGGATCAGATAGGATTAGAACTGAGCATATGAGTGGGACAGTTCAGGTTTTGAGGCAAGACTGAAATGGTTTGGATATGTGCAGATGAGGGGTACAGGGAACTTTCATGGATTAAGTGGAGGAGGACAAGCAGAGGGTTGGTGTGACAGAGGAGGATCCTAGAGATAAGAAGAGATGGAGGCAGTTGATCTGCTGTGACTTCTAAAGGGAGCAGCTGACAGAAGAAGAAAAGTTATTTCTGATTAAATATTCATATTTCCTGTGGCACCCCTCAGACTTGTTGCTGTTTCCCCATGTGACAAGTCCTTTGAAAGATCCTGGAAACAACCGTGCTAGTATGTATGTGGCATTGCAGTTAGAGTTTAAAAACAGGAGGGGACTGACACTAAGCATAAAAATACAATTTGGGTCCACTGAATTGTAATGCAATATGAATTAGCAAATGCTAGATATGTTGCTCTATTTTATGAAATGCAGGAGAAAAGGTTTGTTTAACAGTCCAAATGTTACACAGAAGCTACCATAACTGTTTCACATTATTACATCAAAACAGCCAAAAGGGAAATGTTTGGAACATGGGGGAGGATGAATTTCAATTAATATCCTATATTATCTATTGTTATCAGCTTATTAATATATTTAGGCTTCTATCTAGCTTTATCATTACATTTCTGAGGGACTACTATTTGCTGTTTGGTTTAAGAAAAAAACAGCTTTGTTAACTACCAACAATAACTACTAGGGTTTTAGAAAAAAATATTAAACCTACTTTTAAAGTAAAACATTCTACAAAGTTTTAGAAAAAATGTTACAGAGCTCTGTATACTATATCATGCACATACGTTTTCAGGGCTGTAACTGATCTCTTTCACATCAATCCTTGTAATTTTTTCACAATGTAGGAAATTTCCCACACTGAGTATGTGCGTCCTGACATGGATATTTACCTGGACTACATAGAGGGATGCCTAACCTTTAAAAACCCAACACACCACAATAATGGCAATTATACTCTGGAGGCCAGAAACTACCTGGGCATAGCCACCAGTACTGTGTATGGGCACTTCTTGGAAAAGCCTTTTGGTAAGTTCAATCATTTAGAGTTATACTAAAGTAAATCAAAAGCTTTGCCTTCACCCCCAGCTGTGTCTTCGCCACAGCACCTGCATCACTGTTGGCACTACATCAATCTGTCTGTCACCTGCTCCAGTTTCCCCTTACTTTTGAACAAGACTCAGAGAAAGGGCAGTACATTTTGAGTGGGCACTCCATCCTTTTCCGATTGAGAGCGATTGCTTTGAATGTCGAGTTCCTAATTCGTTTTCCTGCCAGTTCAGATGAGCTGCAAACCATCTTAGTATTGGCTGGAAGTCAAACCACGGTTCTCCGTCTGGGAATCCGATAGTTTGCATTGTTTCTTCTGAATCTGAGGTTTAACTAATTGCATCCAGTCCAATACCCTGGCATAGATCTACCTAGGGAGGCTGAGGAATGGGATCCTCTTGTAGCTGGAGCACATTTTCCAGTCCCATTTCTTAAAAGGTTTAAATGTCATCCATTTCTGCCAGTCCAGAGAGAAATCTACATGTATCATTGCAGATGTGTTGCATGCCATTTCTATTTTATCAAAATCTTTCACAAACTGGAACAAGAAGAATGTTTATCCTGTAAAGGTTACACAACCTTTTTGGGCTACAGCACCATAGGGTCCCACTCTTTCAAGTGTCCCCTGTTAAAGTGAACATGGAAGTTTCAAATGTATCAGTTGTCCGAATCAAGGAAAAATCTTTACTCTTGAACACGACCCTGAATTATTAGTCTGCATGGTGATCGAATGTTAAGCAATGGCAATAATGAAACTCAAAAACTGCTTTGCCACATTAAAAGTAATATTCAAACAAACAAAACATGAAATGTTCCCTGTCTAATTTAGCCTTGTACCACAAGGAACCACTGCATTATTCTGCTGCTTTCAAGCTCAGTTTTCAGTTTTGTTTAGAACCTTTGCAGGAAAAAAGTAAAAAAAAAACAAAACAACAAGTTTCTGCTAAAGGGACATTTTAGTTCCCTGTGCTTTATCAGAGATTACCATCAAGCACACTGTCATGATTTAGCATTCGGTTTGACTCAGTGTCACAGTTTTCTTATAAAACAAAACATGCTCTAATCATCACCCTGTGTTAGTACTGGATGTAGTTGTGAAATAATGCTTATATTTAGCCTAAGTGTAAATTATATGTGGAGAAATTAGAAAAGTCATACAGGATATGATAAGCTTCTTAGTAATGTTATTTATTTCCAAATTTTTCACATTTTCAGTTTTAAGTCATTTTCAGTAATTTACACCTGCTTTCTTTGAAGTGATGCCGTAGGTTGTTTGATCAGATTCTTTTGTAGAGTATGCCTTACAGAGGGTCTTTTCCAATTGTGACTTTTTCTCTTCTCTTTCTTTTATAGATGATTACGATTATGGTGAGTTTTATTATCCATCAATACATTATCAGAATCAGAATACTTTATTGATCACTAGGGGAAATTATGTAGTTTTCCATTTCATTTGTTTTCCTTTAAAAAAAAAACAATACAATACAATGAAAAGCCCAACAATCATTTGACCCCCTATGAGCAAGCACTTTAGTGATGGTGGGAAAGAAAAACTCCCTTGTAACAGGAAGAAACCTTCAGCAGAACCAGGCTTACAGAACTGGCAGCCATCTGCCGTGTGAGGGGAGGAAGACAAAGACACACTGTGGAAAAGAGTCAGTAATCATCAATAATCATTGAATTCAGAGAGGCGCATAAACAAAAAGTGAGTGAAAAAGCTGATTGAAGAAGAAACACTCAAGGCATCATGGGAATGGCCCAGCAGCCTAGAGCTATTGCAGCTGATCTAAGGGAGGATTCAGGGTCAAGCCCTAAGTAATTCCTTACTAACTCTAATAACATTTACAATAATAGATTACAGATTATTTGGGAATAAATTTCATTGCAGTAAATGTCTTTCTGAAAGTGGTCTAACTAAATTTAAGGATATAATTCCCTCACTGTCAACTTGAGTGTCATGCGCTAACACAATACAGAACAGCTTCCTGAACTCGACTCCCACAGAGGTAAATTATTGTGTGGATGCCCTCAAAGGGCACCACCTCTTCTTTGTGAGAATGAGTTTGGCTCAGTGAGATGAATAGCTGCCTTGAGACCAGAAGGGCCAGGTTCGAATCCTGCTCAGGGTAACTTTTTTTTTTCACCACTTTTCAGCAAAAATTTCTCCGTCTTTACCCCTTTCAGTAGAATTTTTTGCTTTTCACCACTTTTCAGCAAAAAAATTCTGCTTCTTCACCTGTTTTTAGCAGAATTTTCAGTTTCTTCACCGCCATACAACTTTTTGCAACTTTTCAACTTTTTCAGCTTTTTTCAGCAGACATCTTCAGCGTTAAGGCATCCACACAGCATTTTCGCAGGAAATGCAAATTTTTTTCTAGTATTACTAATAGTTTTACATCTTCACTGTGTAAGACTCCATACTGTGGTTCCTCTGGGAAAGACTACCAGTACTTGAATCATTGGTATAACTCTTAAACACGCACCTTAGAGCAAATAACTCATATGCTGAAGATGAAGTGGTGCTTGTTTATGTAATTACAGACCGCTCTTCACACACCAAGCTTTAATATGGAGTAATGCAGGCCGTGGCAGATAGTTGCTCCTCCATGAGCCTGGTTCTGTTTGAGGTTTCTTCCTGATAAAGGGGATGTTTTCCTTCCCAATGTCACCAAAATGCTTGTTCATAGTGGTTCATCTCATAGGTGGGTTTTTCCTCTGTTTTCTCTGTATTATTGTATTTTTCTTACAATAAAAAGCCCCATGAGGAAATTACTGTTGTGATTTAGCAGTATATAAATAAAATTGGATTGAGTTGAATTGTTGCATGTATTATTTTTTTGTTGTTTTGTCTAACATTATGAAAAAAAAACATTCAACAAACGAAACTGTTCAGCAGCAGAAATCATATCAAGCAAAACTGCAAGAATTTGTTAATAATGTGTGATTTCTTTCTTTTTCTTAAAGGACCCACAGAAAAAGGTGAGTGGAATAAGATGCCACTGCCTAAAACGAGTCAGTTATGTTGCCCCAAACACTAACCAGCTACACCCAACAACTAAGAGATGCTCCCACCTGTACTTTACTTCTGCCTGGGAGAACAAACTAACATTTTTTGTGTTTTTCTTACAGTAATTCCAACTGCAGAGACTCACATACCGGAGGAAGATACTTTTGGGGTAAGAGAAACTGTCTGCCGCCTACAGTGCAGTTTTTAGAACCCTTCCCAGGCACCTCAACTGCCATTCACATCTTGCATCAGGTGATTTCAGTGGGTCAAATAATATGGTGAGCTAAGGACTCCCAATCGTTTCACCCGAAACCTCTGCTGATAATGACCCACGCCTTTTTTTCACACGTTAGCTTGTGGTGAGGCACATGATTGATAGTGGGCTGACGACCCTCATACCTAGGGATTAAATACTTGGGACTCTTCACCATTTGGTTTTAGAACTTAAAAATCTTACTAGTTCAAAGATTACTGCCTGCTGAAGACAGTATTTTGTGATGTTTGTGGGTCTAAAGATTCTGAGAAGTCAGGTACTTTCAATCAGTCCTCGCTCCTGAAAATACTTTAGAAGTCAGGTACTTTCAATTCAATGCCGTGAAACTGTGTGACTGTGACGTTTAGACTTCATGTGGTTTACAGGTATCCATAGCAGTGGGCCTGGCAGGGTTTGCCCTAAGTTTGATGCTGGTGGTTCTCTTTCTTCTCATCAACAAGTATGGTGGACGATCCAAGTTTGGCATGAAAGGTAAGAGCGAATGTATTTTCAGTCTTTCTGCTCTGTCTTTGAGCTGCAATAAAAATCACATGTGTGACTTGTATGAAGGTGGGCAGCAGAAAGATGAGCTCAAAGTGCTGATTGTAGTCGTTCTAAATCTGCACTATAGAAATTAACTTTAACTGAATCCTTAGAAGGAAATATTAAAAGTGTGAAATCTGCTTTGCTCGTTTTTTCATTGTGTGCACACACTCATATGAGTATATAGTGTGGTGGACTGCAGAAAATTGCAGATAATATTTGTGACATACTATGCAAACATGGTACTATACTATGCAAACAATACAAGTGCAATCAAGACCAAATGGAGGAACAATGGAAGAACACATAGGAGACAACAAAGTGCCAAAAAAACAGTTTGACTGTTTGGCCAGTCTGGGCGTTTTTTCACCTTCGACCTCTACAGCATCTTTCTTTTCCCTCTTTGTCACTTGATGCATGCTGGGATTAAATCATTTTTTTGGCTGGATAAGACTTTTATTTTATATTATTTACTGACTAGTAAGGAACAACCAGCACAGCATTCTGTTGAAATCTATATGAACTGATTATGATAACATATTGCAAGACTAAGCGATACATTGTGTTGTACGTTATTTGATTAGCTATACTGCTGATGGCAAAGATATTGGGATTTTTAGCTTGCTAAATGTCACAAGCGTGTACAAAAGCAGTACAATTCCTTGGAAATATTGGGAAACAGATGTTTCCATACATAATTCATTCTCCCTATTGTTATTCTGAGAAGCAATTAGAAATGTGCTCTGTATTATTGTAGGGTCTATACCTAACAATGTAAAGCACCTTCAAGCAACTGTTGTTGTGATTTGGCGCTATGTAAATAAAACTGAATTGAAATCAAAATGTTACATTGAAAATAAATGGGGAGATACTGGTGGGGAAAACTTGACTATAAAAAATCAACAAAAAGAAGCATGCTACTGGCATGCAGTATGGGTGGAACGGGTACACTGAGTAGCATGTGGCCTTTGCCGTGCAGCAGTACACACTCCTAGCTGAGAGTCTGCAGCAGAACAGAGGTTTAAAGCTACAGCATGTCAACTCACACACTGCCATCATGAGGTGGTATCTAGAGGTGGGTGTTTGCACACATCAAATCTAGAAATAGTGAAAGTAAACTGTCCACAGAATGCTCATGTTTACCAGCCTAGCTCCCTTATGATGACTCATATCAGTGGATTCAAAAGGGATTAGAGTGGGAAAAGGTCCAGGCATGATGAGTCAAGCTTGGATTTTTCTCAGTTTCACATTGTCACTCTGTTTGGTTGGAGACTTTATGTGCTTCAGTTCAAACCAAATTTTCTTTTTAGTGTCTTGATGAGAATTAATGTGTTAAAAAGTTACTAGAGAATTTTTATTTCTTCTGTGCACCAACACAATCCATAAATCAAACAATTGAGATGTGATTGAAGTGCAGCTTTTACGTTTTTAATTTAAAAGGTTTCACAAAGGTGTAAAAGAGAGAGGCAACAAAACCCCTATTAGATGAATGTTTTCTATCCTGAAACTGCTGTCGGGCAGCTTTTTCTGAAGAGAAACTGACAAAAAAAATGGTGTTTCACCTTGCAGAAGGCACAATCACTTTGTGACTTGTGTGTAGGTTCATTCTTAATAAAACTAAAGGCTGTTAAATAAGATACAAAAGACCCCTATGAGTAGAACATTGAGGGAACAATTTACCCTGCCCTTTGCTAGTATATTTAAACACAGTGAAAGCAGCACACACTTCCATATCATCACAAAGATATTTCTAGCAAAAAGTTCTCCAAATTTTCTCCACCAGTAATGTGTCAAGAGTACTTGGTATGTGCAATAGGCAAGCTGTCAAGGCTTAAAAAACAAACAAACCATCAAATAAAATTAATAAAAAGACATTTTATTAGACAAAAAGACACAAATAAAAGACATTATAATCCCTAATAAAAATGTCCAGACCAAGTGACAGAATCATAGTTGGTTGGCTGGGCCAGCTATGTGTTTACCGAGTCACATGTTGAATAAAATGAAAAGATTCTAGAAGATTATGAAAGTCAGAAGCTATGGAGCACAAGCTGTAATCAACATGAAAATTTAAACTCCCCAACAGAATGATTCTTTCCATCTTAATGGTGGACAATAAGAAATCACCAAAATACACTAAGAAACTCACAGCTGATCCTGATGGTCTACAGATTAAAATGACATAGAAAGGATGAATCCAACCAATCGTCATCATCTGTATCTCAAAGGATTTAAAAGAAGAATTATTCAACATTTGACAGAAAAAAAATTGCTAAAAATGACAGCCAGCGAATGGCAAACAGCATTAATAATTTTGTAACTAATTGTTACAAAATTAATTGTATCTAATTGATATAGATTATGAAAAGAGATTGTTAGGAGAGTAAATGAGATGCCAATTTTACTTTACATTAAAATACATCAGTGACCTATGTCTGGCCCTCAGTGCGATCAGTGTGGCCTGAGTGAAGCCCTAGAGAAACTATGTTTTAATAGCCATGAACACACAGAAACCCAACATGAACCATCTGGCTGTTCACGTGCATGCACGCTCACATTTTGAAGACATTTAGCTTACAGTGAGATGAAGTGTACTGATACTGTGTCACTGTTCACTTTCATTGCTCCAAATGCATGGTTTGTAAAAGAATAAAAAAGGGATGATTCCATTAGGGCTTCATAAATCCTGCTCCTCAGAGACTTTTTGGGGAGAAACTCTCTGGTTTCTTCTAAGAAAGAACATTGGCATCTTTATGTCACTGTACTCTCCTTTTGGTTCCAATAGGATTGTTGTGTTCTTAGGAGAATAAAAAATGTCTGTAATTGAATGTGTTATGGTCAGTCCAGTCCATTCTTTAGTATGACCTTTTTTTTAGTTGTTTTATTCTACTGTAAACCTTGAATGATACCATGCTCTCCCCCCGTTGAGCTACGGTCTGTCTTTCTACATCTGTCTGTCTGATGCATATAGTCATATAGGTCTTCTGGGAGTGAAATTGAATCGAGGCTGTACTACATGCAGAAAATCTATATGAAAATGAATTATGAAAAACTATTAGGCATTTATTTATTTAGTTCGGTGCATTTGTAGTTCAGTGTTTAGATAATAAAATGTAGATTTAGGTTTAACATGTTGGTGGACAATTCTTAACTCACAAAATATCTGAATTGTAACTTTATTGTATTGAGAGGGTTTTTTTGATTGTGTTTGAGGGATTTAATTTTAGC